ACGCCACATGTCACGAGGCCCTAGGGTCCGTACCATGCGGCCACACATAGACGAGCTCATCCCATCCAGTACTCGCCAAAAGCCCTTCCACGAGCACACTCATATCAACTCCAACTGCAAACTCCGTGTGGTGATCATATCTCCCGATTATAGAGTCCTCAACCATATAATCCCACAAACAAACAGTCATGTCGTATGAGCAAGAAGCAATCACGCTTCCCCTGTGAGGAGAAAACCTCACTTTCCGAACGGCATAGCCATGGCCGTTGAGCACGGCCACCGGCACTCTGTAATTCCTCACGTCCCAAACTTTGATCGATTTGTCGACTGATGCTGTTGCTATGATGCAGTCGTCGTATTTGTTCCAGTCGCACGAGAGGATTTCGAATTCGTGGGCGGGGAGTATCATGGTGGAACCTGAACAAGTAAAGAGTTTTTCTATCTTACTGTTGAAAATTAAACTTTCTGAATACCGGTTTTATCAAATGGGTTTCAGTTATTATAGAGTTCTATTGATTATTTATCACCCATCTTAATATTAACTGGCTCACTAAAACAGATAGTTAAATGCATGTGTGATAAGTCAGTAATAGGCTCTATCATTCAATTAAGGTTTTGCAGAAAATTTCTTCCAAATCCAGTAAATAAGGGGAACACACGGTCTTGACCGTGAGCACTAGCTCGAGAGGTACCACTTCTTCTTTACAACGATAATTTTTTATATCTTTTTTCTTTTTTGTGTGCGTGTGTGTGACTGTGTGTGTGTGTGTGTGTTTTCCAAAAAGGAAACCAGTCTTGCTAAATCATGAATAGCTGCTGGCAGAGTAGGAAGAAAAGATTAAACACACAAGACACACATTCAGCAAGACTTCAACAACAATAATTCTTATGGGTGATTAAGCATTGAAATTACTAACTAGTTCTTTCAAAAGGACTCGTTTGGATGTTAGCATATTGATATGTTAAATTAGCGGATTAAACCTCATCTAGAGGTTTAACCCATCAAATCCGCTGACTAATTTATTTACCAAATCAGCTATACAATCCACTATCAGCTATCCGCTAATACAACCAGCTAGAGGGCCAAAATGTCAAAACTCAATGAACCAAATGAACTTGAATTATCTATGAAGACAGTTTACTTGTCATAATAACTCATCAGTATCAGAACAGTATATCTATCTAAGCAAAAGCAAGTGAAACATCTAATAGTGGTGGTAGAACACTTAACATACACCATAAACAGCTGCTCGATTTAGTTTACCAAGTAAATAGAACTGAAAAATAAATTGTAACAACAATAAAAGAATGGAAATTGTGATCCGAATTGCTAACCTGGTTCGCGAACATCCCAAATGCGGGTGGTACAATCACCCGAAGCGGATGCGAAGACATCGGCGTGCCTAGGGTTCCACGCCGCTGAGTAAACGCAATAGGCGTGCTCCTTGAAAGTCCTCACGCTCGCTGGCCGATCGACGGTCCACAATTTCACGGTGTCATCCCACGACGCGCTCAGGAACGAGTCCTTCCGGACGGTGTTGAAGTCGACGCCGTGGCACTCGCGCGCGTGCTCGTGGAGCGAACGGATCGGGTTGGCGGCCGGCGGCAGGGACGAGTCGTAGATCTTGAGCGAGCCGTCGGCGACGGCGGCGACGATGAGCGAATCGTGGGATTCCGACCAGCAGAGGTCGTAGACGCCGTCGGCGGTGTCGAAGGCCGCGCGCTCGGTGACGGTCGGCCCGAGCTGGAGAATGTGGAGGCGGCCGTTGCCGAGTATGCCGAAGTTCTGGGCGGTGGCGACGGCGAGCTGGTTCTCGTAGAATGGGCTGAACTTGACGGAGTAGCCGTTGAAGGGGGTTTTGAAGACCGGCATGGCGCGGCGGATCGGAGTTATTTGGTAGTCGATTGGGTTATCTCGGGAGTTGTGAGTCGGGAATAAGCTGCAAATTTGCCGAGGCGAAAAAATAAATTCATTACCTGCATTTCATTTCTATACAA